GGCTCTGGTTTTCTCTTCAGCCTGTAATATAAATATCAACGCATTCAATTTGAATGGATAAATATCATGACCTTTTAAATAGGGATGAGAGAAATCTACTGTAGTATATGATTCATATTATATAGAAGTCACTATAACCAGAGCTGTTAAATTCAACATCTACAAACGATTTGCTAGAGCATCTACTTAGTTTTCTTTTTTAAAATATTTTGTTTATTTGTGAGAGAGAGGGCAAGAGAGCACAAACTAGGGGGAGAGGCAGAGGGAGAAGCAGACTTCCTACTGAGCAGGGAGCCCAATGCAGGGCTCGATCTCAGGACCCTGAGATCCTTAACCAAAGGCAGGCACTTAACCGAATGAACCACCCATGAGCCCCTCTACTTATTTTCTAAATATGACATCATGTGGTTCTGATTCTATGGGAGCTATGTTATAACTATTTGAGGTGCAGGTAACTGGAAGCAATGTGAAAGAATTCTTATCTGTACATATGTAAATGAATTGTAATGTTAACTCCTGAAACTGGTTGTGACACCTCTCCAGCTTCCTCATTAATGAGTTAAACAAAATCTATAACGTGTTCATTTTTACACCTGTATGAGAGGCACAATTTTACATGTTTCTTTCCTGAAAAATTATCTTTTGACCAGGTAATTTCTCTTTGCAGGAACAATTCAGGGTAGATGTTTGCCTCAGTGGTCTCTCTTCCTGATGTGGCCAGTGGTGGAAGAGGTTGACACTGTTTCTTACTCATAATCTCATTTTAACTGCATGATTTAAAAGTTATAGCTCCTTGACATTGCAATGCAGAATTAAAATGCCTCCTGACTTTTCCACAATGGTATACAATTTTCTCAGCCATTTTCTCTTTGTTGGTTTACTTCAGCAGAAAATTAGGTTGATTGTGTCTTAGCTTGGGTTACTACTGGTATGGTAACAAAATACCATAGACTGGGTGGGTTAAACAATAAATACTTATTTCTCCTAGTTTTGGAGGCTGAGAATGTGTGATCAGGGTGGCAGCATGGTCAGATTCTGGTGAGGGTCCTCTTCCCGGCCGGGAGACAGCCACCCTCTCATGGTGTTTGCATAAGGTCAAGAGAGGGCTCTGGTCTCTTCATCTATAATATGGGCACCAATCCCATCATGGGGTCCCAGCTCCAAGACCTCTTCCAATTCAGTTACCTCTCATAAGCCCCACTGCCAAATACTGCCACCCTAGGAGGGCACATTCAGTGTGAAGACAAATACATCCAATTGGTATATACCACACTCTCAAAGATCTCTGTAATTAGAGATGTAAATTTCCTCTTTGACCTAGGAGTAGTTTAGTAGGAGATTTTTGCTTGTATTATAATCACTTACCTTTATTATTTTTGTCTTTTGAGTTTTCATACATATTTGTTCTTATATTACTAAAATTAATGCATTGTGAGTTAGAAATATTTCTGCTAATGGGAATGTACTATGAATTCCTTTACAGTCACAAATATGATCATTTTAAGCAAATGTTTTTAGCCAGGTGAAAATAAATATGTCATCCATAGGTTATAAAATATATTGTTACATATTTTAAACATTTAAATATTTCTCAAATGCCCCATCTCTACCTTACCAAATTAACGATTCCATATAATTCAGAGTTCTGCTCTTTCTTCTCTTTAAAGATTGATTGATTGATTGATTGATATATACTTAAAGGAATTGGCTTACATGATAGTGTAGTTGAGAAGTTGAAAATCTATAGGGAAGACAGGTAGAATGGAAATTCGGGTTATGTTGTAGTCTTAAGTTGAAAATCTGCAGGCATGGTTAGGAGTTTAGGAAGCCCAAGCAGAGTTTCCTTTTTTTTTTTTTCCCTTCCTTCCTTCCTTTTTAGAGATTTTATTTATTTATTTGAGATAGAGAGAGCAAGCAAGAAAGAGAGAGAGAGCATGCAAAAGCTGGGGAAGAGGCAGATGGAGAAGGAGAAGCAGAGTCCCCACTGAGTAGGGAGCCTGGTACGGGGCTCAATCCCAGGACCCTGAGATCATGACCTGAGCTGAAGGCAGATGTTTCACTGACTGAGCCACCCAAGGACCCCTCAAGCAGGGTTTCTATGGTACAGGTTTGAGTCAGAATTCCTTCTTCTTGGGAAACTTCAGTTTTTGCACTTAGGGCCTTCAGTTGCTTGGATGGGGATCACTGCTTTAACACTAACTGACTATAAATGAAAATCATAGCTACAAAGTACATTCACAGCAACATCTAGACTATTTGACCGAAGAAGTGGGCACCAAAGTGTGGCCCAGTTGATACATAAAGTTACTCATCACACTTCCCCAACTAGGACAGAATCCCTATGGAATGATTTCTGGCTACTTTAATCTTCCAAATTAAGAGTCATTTGTACATTAAAACATAATGAAAATGGCTTTAATTTTTAAAATATGTATTACACATTTCTTTTTTAATGAATATTATTCTATGGTATTTCACATGCGTATAGCTTGTCTCTGCCTCTTTGGCAGCTCTTCTGTGATATTGGTAAGTGACTTGTGGTTCCCTTGGAGTCTATTATATTTCTTCTCCCTCCTGTGCTTCACTATGTCTATCACCGGGGGCTCCACTGCAATCCTAACAAGGCCTTGTTAGGTTTCAGCCTGAGCTGTGTGGGCTTCACCAGGAATTTTGCTTTGAAAATGTTTTAGGCAGTGGCTAATATTAATAAGGTGACTTTTATTTCCACTTTTCCTATTAATAATTGTTAGCCTTAGTGAAAAAGCCAAATAGGAGGATTCTTAGCTTCCTGGAATAAAATATCATCAAACATCACCAGACTGAACACAGATTCCTAATGACCCATTTCATTTCCTAACTCTATGTAAATCACTTGTATGTGCAACTGAATCGATTTTCTTTATTTCTCACTATAACAGGCATAAAGCCTTTAGTAAGTACTTAAAGCATAGTTACCACTCGGTCAATTATAATTATTACTTTATCCTTAAATACAATAAATATTAGAATATCATTTAGTTCTTGAAAAAATTATATATTATAGCCTTTCAAATAATTACTGTTGTGTTGGAATCTGGTTCTGCAGTTTCTTCAATGTTTCTAGTTTACCTGAAGTTTACCCACAAATGAAATTACTTAGCCAAGAACTAACACCCACCAGAGGATTTACAGTTACGTACCTTTCATGGACCTTTCAATATTACCACATTGTATTGTTTGTCCTTTTGATTGAATACCATTAGACATTCCACAACTTGCCACACAAAATTCTTGCTTGTTAAAGTAATACTCAACAAAGTTCGAGTTACTTTGATGACTTTAAGCAGGTTATAGCAAAAGAAAATAAAATGTCTAAGATATGACACAGTGTAAGGAATAAAACTATTTTAAAATCCATGAATGAATGTTTCATGGATGTCAAACTGTTTACAAGTTTGAAAGTAATAAAACTATGATGCTTTACATTGATATAGAACAATTTCTAACATTTATTTTGTTTTGTGACTTTAATATATCCATATAAATGTTTAGCTATGTATCATACATTTCTATTTTTATGAATGTTATGCAATGATATTTTAGGTGGGTGTGGCTCATTTGCCACAATTACAAGTAAATGATGGAAAACAATTCGAGGGGCGCCTGGGTGGCTCAGTGGGTTAAAGCCTCTGCCTTTGGCTTGGGTCATGATCCCAGGGTCCTGGGATCAAGACCCGCACTGGGCTCTCTGCTTAGTGGGGAGACTGCTTTCCTTCTTCTCTCTCTGCTTGCCTCTCTGCCTACTTGTGATCTCTGTCTGTCAAATAAATAAAATTAAAAAAAAAAAAGAAAAACAATTGGAAATACTTCTTAAAGTACTGAAGTTAGAAGAAATAGTAATAAAAGTAAAAATTTGTGGTTGCTGTGTTTCTTTATTGATAGAATAAACCTAAATTCAAAATTGAACAATAAGTTCTCATCATTGCAGCACAGTTTTTCAAATGAATTAGAAAAAATTGATTTCAAATTTCTTAGGAAGTGACAGATAATATATATTAAAGGTAACTTATATCTGACCTAAAATATGAAGTGAGTTAAAATAAAAATTTTATAGCCTGACCCAATATAATCTTACTCACAAATGAGATTACTGTTTTCATGTATGATTTAATCAGACCACCAAAGCTGTAAGGTATCACACATTTTTGAGGCTTTATTTTACTCTTAGTGAGATATAATGTCAGTAATAATGTTTTATGGTATTGTGAAACATGCAAAGTCTATCTTTTTTTCTCCCCTCCCATTTGACATCTCAAATCTGGCAACTTTTGTTTTATTCTTATTCTTATTATTAAATTTATTTTTTGAGACAGAGGGAGAGAGAACATGTGAGCAGGGAGAGGCAGAGGGAGAAGGAAAGAGAAAATCTTAAGTAGGCTCCCTGCTCAGTGTGGAACCCAGTGCAGGGCCTGACCTCATGACCCTGAGATCAGGACCTGAGCCAAAACCAAGAGTCAGATGCTTAACGGACTGAGCCACCAAGGTGCCCCTCAAATCAGGCAACTTAAGGGTGCAGGTCTTGGGGTAATTTCATTCATAATAGCCCTGGATATTCATTTCATCACTCACTTAAATAAAAATGATAACTTTTGCGTAATCCTTTAAAAGATAAATGCTTCATGTAATTTGTCTCGTTTGGTCTGCAGAAGAATCCTAGGAGGTTGACTTGTTGATTATACAGGACGGTGCCACATGGTGATCAATGGCACAAGTGGTGCTGAAGTCCCTGGACTCGAACCTTCGCATGTCCTCCTCCCTTCCCTTGTGTCCATGGGCAAGTAGCTCAACTGCAGTTTCCTTACCTGTAATAGGAGGATGGCCGCCTCCAAGTGGTGAGGACGGAGTTGCTTGGAGCGCCCCCTGACGGTAGCAGGCAATACCCCAACCCGGCGGCTCCTGTTCTGCACAGGAGGAGGTCCATGCTCAGAGAAATTATGCGCTTTTTCCAAAGTGCTTTTTTCCCTTTCCCTTTTGGAAAGTTAGCTCTTCATTGTGAAACAAAGAGAAAAGGGCTGATGAGTGCAACAAAGAACAATGAATAATTAAGGAACTGTGCTGAAGTTTAAGTAATTTTCAAGAATCATTTGTGTAAGAAAACCCTTCTGTCTTATTTACTTCTGGAATAATTTGACTTTTTACATAGCCTTGGGAGGTGTACAATTACAAAAGAGCTAATACTTAAATGCACCAGCAAAAAAGAAAGCATATTTCTATCTATGATAGTAAAAGACTTTCCTTAATGATGGATTATTTCTTTGATAAGGGTATTTAATACACATAGATACATTTCTAATGCTTTATTCTTAATTTGGTGACTGTAGTTGATGTTGATCATATAAACTACGCAGATACATTTTTTTCCACTTTAATTCAGGTATATAATGTTTGTGTTCCCCCTAAATTCATATACTGGAATCCTAACCTCCAAGGTGGTTGGGACTTTGGGAGGTAATTAGGTTCTAAGGTGGAGCCCTCCTCATGGGATTAGTGTCTCTGTGAAAGAGATGCCATAGAGTTTGCTAGGACCTTCCATGTTTGAGAACATAGGGGCACTTGCATCTGGGAATCAGGAATCAGGCTCTCACCAGACACTGAACCTGCTGCTCCCATGATTTGGGATTTCCAGCCTCCAGAACTGTGAGAAATGAATGTTGGTTGCTTAAGCCACCCTGTCTTGGTAGTTTGTTACGGCAGCCTGAATGGACTAATGCACGGTAAATGAGACTTCCCCTTCTTTTTGAGGGTTACTTTAAAATGGGATAGTTGGGTATTAGAAAATTTGAACTGCTAGTCAACTTTCTATACATCTTAAAACTGATTTGAGTCATTGTCTGGGCCATTTATGGTGATAATAATAGCTTTTTGGGGAAATATAATAACAATAGGTAGGGAAAGGTTGGAAGGCCGCAAGAGAGAGGGGTGTGTGGGGGGGACTTGTCCAGTTTTATTTAAACTCTTACCTTCTCAATTTCTAAATTCCCTAAAGTTTGGTTCAACTTCTTACCTGTTCTCAGCATATGAATATGTTTTAGCTAAAATTTTTAGTATTTTTGCACCTTACATACTAATTAATAAATATTTGTCTATTATACACGTATACATATGCATATACTGATAAGCATATATACACAGACCCACTCTCTGATGTGGGCTTCGGTTAGTATCTTGAGTGGCTCTCTGACCTGAGTGACTTCGCAACTACTCTGTTTCACAGCACCCCCATTTATGCCAGGATCTGCCTTTCTTCTCTGCTGACACTTGCTTTGGGAAACTGTTATCCCCGCTTTTCGAAAGTTTGTTTAGGCCACTTGTATTTTACAGAAGACCTGCATTAGGAGTCTCCCCGGATCTGGGGATTCGCTTCCGCCATTTCCGTTGCTTGCGGTCAACCGTGGCCCGGAAGCAGATGAGCCTCCTTCTGACGCAGCGTCAGAAGGTCAGTAGTAACCCACGCTCCGTGCTAGCGGCTCCGTCGCTGACCTCACTGCGTCTCCTGGCTGGGGCGTCACCAGAAGAAGGGTGAGTCCAGCACGTTAATCTTTTACTGCTGTTCGTCTACTGTGCCCAACATACAAATTAACCTATATCACAGACGTCTGTCTGGGGAGAAATACGTAGTATATAGGCGGTTCCGTCCCATCTTGGCTTCGGGCGTTGACTGGGGTCTTTGAATGTATTCTCCGGGATAGGGCGGGGGGAGGGGGACTACCATACTGGTTTTGGGTAAGAAATCCGAAGAGGCTTGTCACGTAAGGTGAGAGGTGGAAGCGGCATGGGCGTGCAGCTTTGGCTGGTTTTGCAGCGAGCCTTGCGGAGGCGGTGAGCCTGCGAGCAAGCGGCCCCTTCCCGGGAGCAGAGCTCAGTGTCCTAGCTTCCAGCCTCGGGGCTTTGAACTGTGACTGCGAGCATCTGGGCTTTGTCTCCATTTATTTTGTGCGTCCGTCCGTTAGCAATATGTGACTGAAGGTATCAGAAGAACCTAAAGGAGGTTATTTTTGGGGTCTGAGAATGCTCAAACTTTTTCCATCTAAGTTAATGGTAATTGCGTCTTTCCTTATGCCATTTTGGTTTAGGAAGGTTCATGAGAATGCTCCACTTTCAGAAAGCTGGGGAAACCCATAGTTGTTCCCTCATGGGAATGCTTTTTCCTCTCCGTGTCCTCCTTCTTTCCTAATCCTGTACATGGGGCTCCTGATCTTCTCCTTTGGACTCGGGTATCAGTCCCTGCCTCGGATCTCATTTTGGGTTTGAATTTATGTAGGGCTTTCTACTTAACCATTTCAAACATACCCATCTTTCCCCTTCACTCACACTAAAGACCAGGTCAATGAAGACCACATGTGTACTACCGCTATGTTAACTACTTAGTGATTATTACCTGAAAGAATAAATTTCATCCAGGCCATTTCAAATGATCATGCAAAGGAAATAGCGTTGAATCAGGATAGTTTTAGCATGTAATCTGTTAACCACAACCTATCTTTTGACTATTATCTTCTAACCACCTGTCTACCTATCTTTTCTCCTATGCGTCTGAAAGGCACCGAAACTTCTCATCCCTATGTAAAATCCCGCATTCAGATGTACTCACATTTATAACTACTTTTTTGGATCTAATTCTTTACATATTATCTAATTGTCTCATTGGACTATAGCTCCATAAAGGCCGATATAATAGGTGTTTTATTTACTACTGTGTTCCTCATATCTACCAGAACAAAGGAAAGAAGGAAGACAGGAAGGGAAGGCAGGCAAGCAGAGACAAAAGAATGAGAAATCTCCAGTCTACCGCTAAAGCTTCAAAGGCTGTTAGTCCCCTTAGCTGTATGATTTGATTTTTCTTTGTAGACTGCACTAATATTTCCAAACAAAATTGCTTTTAAAATTTAACACCAAGAGCAATTTCCATTTCAAAATTGTGCCAGTTATTGAAAATGTCTTCAGTGGTGTTACAAATGGTCTTGAAGCTTCCCCGAATGTGCTAGGCATTTAGTAATGGGTGTCTGTGACTGTTTTCTAAAAATTGCTTATCTCGTTATCTCTAAACAAAAAAAGGAAGGGGGGTAAAAAGCCCGGAGAAGTAATCATCATTCTGTGTGTAAAATAAGTGCAGCAAATAGCTCTATAAAATAATATTTTTCAAAGAGCCTTTTTGTTTTGTTTAATGTTCCAGAACTTTCCAACTGAGAATTAAAAGAAACTGCCATGGTGAGGAAGGTTGGGTAAAATTATTTCAGGACCAAACCACAAATGCAGGAAAAAGAAATGGAGGAGATCCATAGACGTGTACATCCTAAACAAGGAAGTATGCATAGATACCAAGCTCTTACTCTGGGCTGGAATGAGGCAGGTTCCTCTCAAGGCAGTGGTCAAACAGAAGGCTTACCCAGGTCTGCTGGAAACAACTTTCCATTATCACTGTCCACAGTATCCAGAAACATTTATTGTGAAATGTTTCTTCTAATTCTTGTGATCTATGATATCAGACAGATTTCCTCACTTCTATTAAAGAAGTTTCCCTCTACTCCTCCATGCTGAGAGGTGATTCAACTGTGCTAGTGTTGGTTCTGCCCACGAGGTCTTGCAGGTAATCCTTTCAGCTGGGCCTCTCAACTTTGTGTGGGGAGCTCTTTAAAAATCAGAGTCAAAGCTTCACCCTCTAGACAGTCTGTTTCAGTAATTCTAGAGTGGGAGTCCAGGAATTTGTTTTTATTTTGTTTTATTTTTAAGGTTCCATGAGTGAAGTTGTTTAAACATAGGCTTCATTGGTCCAGTTTTATCTGCAGAGACTTAAACCGTTTAGTATACTTGCTGTTTCTTCTTGGAGTTAAAAAAAAAAACAAAAAACAAAAAAAAACCAACCCCCTTCCCTATTTTCTAGTATAGTCTTTCCTTCTCTCTGTCCCTCCCTGGAGCCCTGTGTCCTTTCACCTCACAGATCTCAGATATTTTAACTTTACTAAGCAGTCTCATCACCTTGGTTCCTCTGATTTTGTTCTGCACATTTCCCTATGCATCTCATCTTGACATCTTTTCCCTTTCTGACAGCTCTCAGCCTCTGGTATGTCCCCCTTTTTCCTCAACTAATTTGCATCTAGGACCACCAGCCCTCATTGTCTGAGAGCCCTGACTTCACAGTGTTTCTGTCCTTCATGGCGTTGTCTTTACTTGAATTCACGTTTTCCTTCTTTTAAATCCATTTACATTTTCTCACTAGGGAGGACACTGTGAACTCTGTCACTTTGGGTTGGGTAGGGAAGTGTGATAATGAAGGCTAATAGAGATATTTCCCTCTATATTTGCTAGTAATTCTCCTAAAACTATGTTTCCTACATCTGGTTATGATGGTTTCTCTGTGATGGTCTAATCAGAGGACAGAAACCATTCTAGATGGTTAAACAAAAGGAGTTTAATTTAGAGAATTTGTTCTTGGGTAGTGGAAGATCTGAGAAGCCAAGTGAGGGTAGTTGATGCATTGAAAAGATTAGTGACAGCAGAGATCTGTGCTCATTCATAAGACTGGAGAGACAGTGGGAGGCAGTGGTATGACCAGAACTTGGGACCCAGGCTCACCTTCAGGGAGAGAGAACCGTGGCAGTGGCATGGTGAGTCTGCAGTGACAAGAAAGACACAGCCACTGCTGCGTGAAGCCAGCCAGGGAGGGAGGGATTCCTGTGTTCTATCCTCCTGCCCTCTGGAATTTGGCCAGTGCCTCTCCCTGGCTGCAGTCTTGTGGAATCCAGGTGCCAAGGGGAACTTGGGAGTGAAATTCCTTAGAGGAAGAGTGGAAAATGGATTTGACAGCCAGAGACGTACAACTGGCACAGTTCTGTAGAGGACGATATCCTACGATATATGAAGTCTCTCTTTTCTATCCAAGCAATAGTTAGTTTCCATATCACGGTACTTGATTCAATGCTAGTAGATGATAAATGAGGGACTAGAGAATAATAATACTGAAAAGTAACTGAAACGACACCAGAGGTTAGACACCTGTAGCTAAGCTCTTTCTTCCTCCTCTGCGGTCCCTGGTAGAGGCCCATGTGTGTCCCTCTTACAGACGCTGTCTCTTGTCAAGGGCCCTGTCATCATCCTGCAGGAAGAGGAGCAGGCTGGGGGCTGTGGAGAGGGAGAGTGTGGTGGTGGCCACAGTTTTTTAACATCTGGAGGGGGCAGCAGCTGAAGGGCAACAGGAGGCAAAGCAGGAAGCAGCAAACTGTCTTGGGAAACTGGAGGCAGACCACGAGTCCCTGTTTCCTGTTCTCCAGCCCAGTCCTCCTGCTTCAAGCCTATGAAAAGGGAGCTGAGTGTGTAAATCCCAGGTGGCCACAGAAGCCAGAATGGTCCCCTAAAGATACTTAAGTGGGAACCAGCAGAGGGCTCCCAGGAACACCAGACTGCAGGAGGGACCAGACCTGCCGAGGTGATGCAGACCCCGGGAAGAGACAACCAGCTGTCACACACACCGCAGCTATTTGATGCAGTTTACTTTTCGACCCGATGTGATGATGCAGTATCACTGTTTCACACTAGTGACTCATCACCCTTTCTACTCTCTTGCCTGCCTTTCTGTTTTCAGCCATTTGCAACTGGGTTTCGGTCAGTTCTGACGCTGAAAAAGTCCTCTCAGCATGACCTGCTCGCTGCCAAATCCAACGGTAACTTTTCTCTGGTCACTTATTTCTGTAGACAGTGGAGCAGCATTGAAACTGCTGAGCACATTCTCTTTCTTTGAAACTTTCCAACTTTCACCTGAGATAATGTATGTTTTTGGTTTTCCTCCTAAAGTTTGACTACTCTTCCCTCTTTTCTTTCTCTAATTCCCTGTTCATCCTAAATAGCTGTGTTCCTGGGGGTTCCAAGTTGGGCTCTGATCTCCTCCCAATCCACTCCTCTCTTCTCTTGATGTGCTCTCCATGGATGTTCTCATGTATGCATTCAGCTCTAGTCTGTATCCTCCCTACTCACATCTCCTTCTTTAGACTAGAAGTATTTCCTGAACATCAGGCCAGATTTTCCATTTATCTATACCTGGATGTTGTACCTCAAAGGCAGCATACCCCAAACCAAACCTCTGACTTTCCTTCCTTGAGAAAATTCATACCTCAAACAAGTTAACAGTAGCATGTTAACTAGAACATCTACTGATCTCTCGGACTTCCTCCAAGTTGGATTAGCAACTGCCATCTGTGCTACC